GGGAAAATTGCTTCCTGGCCCCCCAAGAGGCAATCGGACACTCCTTCGATCAACGTTACCTATAAATATTAGTATCCGGTTATATTGTGTACATTTAGGAAAGGTTCCAAGCTTTTTTTTAAAAACAATCTACTGAGCTGGCCAGAACTAGCTCTCAAGGGAGTTTATTCCACATTTTCACCGCTCTTAATGTGAAGAAGCCTTTCTGTATTTGGAGATGAAATACGTAACAAGCAGGGTGAATTTAATTGAAATCAAGTTAATTTAAATCCTGATTTAAATCACTATTGAAAAGGCTCAATTTAAATCATAATTTTTAAAAAGAGCAACTGTCATCTCTGTACCGCAGTGGCTCCTCCTCTGGCCTATTGTTGACTCCCATTCACTTTAATGGGACAGCTGATGATGCAGCAGTGACGCAACAAGGTGAGGGACGTGGCGGCAGCAGGTGAGTGGATGCTCGCTAACAGGCGCTGCCATGATGGATCTAAAATGACAGGTGCTCTTTAAATGTAAGGAATCCAACTCATTCTTGCTGGGTAGTTAGCAGCTTTATATTTGCAAACCAAATGATGGCTTCCTTTTTAGAATAATAAGCTGTCAGGTTAGTAAAACAGCGATATCAGAACTGATTTTAGGTTAATAGGTTAATCACACACAGCAGGAGAAACTACTCAAATTCTTTTATTTCATGTTTTTTCTCATGGTTAATGTGAAATTGTGTGAATGCTTCAATGCAGTGCATGTTATCTCAGCTTGCAGAGCTTGGAATTTACCAAAAATATAAATATTGCAGATTATACAGCCTCATGCTACATAACTAAGCTCCATTTCATGCTAAATAAACTAAGTTATTAATGCATCTATAATTGAAAACTATCTTTGCATAGATTTTTACTCCAAAAGCATTTTTTTAAAATAAATTTGATAAAAATAAAAAAAAAATTTGATTTTAATTTGATTTTTTTTTATTTTTTTTTAAAAAAAATATCGATTTTTTTCCCACCCTGGTAAGGAGTGCCCCCTTGTCCTCTGTGATGACCTCAGTGTGAATAGCTCTACACCAAGTTCACTATATGGGCCACCTATGAATTTATACAGGTTGATCATATCGCCCCTTAATTTCCTCTTCTCAAATTCATTTTTTCTAATCTTTCCTCATAGCTGAGCTCCTCCATGCCTATTATCGGTTTGGTTGCCCTTCTCTGTACTTTCTCCAGTTCCCTGTTATACTTTTTGTGATCTGGTGCCCAAAACTGAACTGCATATTCCTGATGAAGTCTTACTAATGACTACTAAAGTTCATCAGGCATAGATCAGTCAGTACCATGTGTAATATTAGTTTTTCTAGTGATCATCTCCGAAATCCGAGTGCAGAGAAGTTGCTATGCTACTCAACATTTAGGTAACTAGAGCTGCATCCACTGCTTTTACAGGAGAAATAAAGTCACAACATACACTTTCATTTTATAACATCAGCATTGTATTAGCCATGTAAAAAACAATAACTATTGTTGATAATTCAATATAACCTTACTTGAAAAATCTCCATTCTTGTTGTGAGCATTGCTTATCTGCTGAACATCTTTTTCCACAAATTTCCTGGATTCTCTGAATGCTTTTAAACTGCTTTTTTTTTTCCTGATGATCAACTTTTGATTTCTAAGGACTATATAACTTGAATGGCTTTTTTTATTATATTTTCTATGGTAAAATAATGCTTTTACATGCAGTTTCCTACCAATGGTCTGCAGCCATTTTGTCAGCAGCGATTCAAGTCATCCAGGTTATAATTGCCATCCCACTGGTTGATACAGTCCGTGATATGTGATTTAAACAGACCATAAGTAGATAAAATCTCAGCCGGTTCAGTAGGGACGATCTATGGGCAGGGTGGTTGTCTTGAAGTCGATCCATCAATCAAGCCTGTTAATCGATTACTGATGGTGGCTATAGCCACCAGCAGTAGTCATTGCTGACAGGGAAGGCTCCCCACCGACAGAATACAGTAGCGTTGCAGGAAAGATTCCCCCACCAACACTGACTGTGTTGACATCCCATGGTTGCAGGAAAGAAAATCGAACTATGGTTTGCGTTACTTTCAAAGTGTCTGTGAGTGCATTTTAACCTTCTTTTAATAAATTGATTACTTTGTTTGATGCACAAGATTGTTTTGCCATTTTTTCAGCTGTCATTGGCCCAATGGTCATTATAGCATGTAACTGTACTTACAGCTTAGTATGTTAAAAAAAAAAAACTATTTTTTACTGAAGTTACACATTATGCTTAAAACTCATACCTCTTTGAGGTCAGAAAATGCCCAATTTTGAACATTAGAGGTAAAATGGCCTATAACTACATGAAAAAAAAGCTGCAATTTTACTAACTCGTGGAGTTTAAAGCATCACATAGAATTTTTGGCCTGATAGACATTCCAGAGGTACATTACCTCATTATGGTACTTTTGCATTCTTGTACCTTGGTCTTGTCCAAACTTTAATAAGATTGAAAATGAAAAATTTCCAGAGGTTGCAACTAAGTATTCACTTTTCTGTCTCTTGTGGCAAGGAATGCTATCTTGCATAAATGGTTTTACCCTGATCCCATCACTATCCCATTATTTGTAGATAAACTGTCTTATGCCCTCCATTTGGAATACGTGGCAGCCTCCTTAAGTAAGGAAACAGGACCAAAAATTGTTTTCCACTATACCCAATGCTATCAAACCAGACTAATAAATAACAATTCTCCAAACGGTCTTTCACCTTCCACCTAAACTATATTTTTATATTTTATTAACAGAGATCTTCATTGACTTACTAAATGATAGACCAATCACCATCCATGGAACAGGTATTCCTTAGTACTTACTACTAGACTCAGTGTTATCAGTTCAATCCTAAATTTTACTATCATAAGAATACTGTTAACTTTGTGTTGTTATATTGGCCAAATGTGGTGATCATCATCATTGTCAACTCCATTCTCGTACCAAAAATATAATAATTAAAAAAGAACCATCAAGTAGGTACAGTAAATAAATGGCTGCTTTCGAGAAGTAGTACAAATTATGTAAATACAGTGAACTAGGACAGTATGTACATGGTTAAAAACACAACTTTTCTGTCTTCCAGAGCATAATAAAAATAAATTTTTTGACCATATCAAACACAGATGCTGCCATGAACCTACCTTGTATATAAAAAAAAACAATACAAGAAACTGCCATACCTTATCAATGCACAAACTGGTGGTCTTACCTTTTGATTCCCTTGGATGCATGTTATCAAGCACTATCAGCACAATGTACATAGTAAAGGCCAATGTGGAGAGGCTGACCCCACAAACTAGGAAACTGTAACTCCCCTGAGTTTCAATTACCTGCAATAAAATATATACACACATTATTATGATATAGAATATGGGAGGTGCAGTCTCAAAAGGCAATCAAACAATAAAAACCTCAAAGAAGTTCTGTAACTTCCCCATGCTATTCAAAACAAAACAAGTTGGTCTACAGATAGGCTTTTAAAGTGTAGCTGTTTTATGAATTTAGGGGAAATTAAGTTAAAATGATAAAAGTCTTCAACACTCACAAGATTAGAATAAATTAAAACTGGTAAACTAGGTTTATAATGAGTATTCTAATAAATATTGCCTTTAGTCACAAAATGCTTCCACTGTTGACACTTTTTTCAGTGTTGTAATACAAGGTAGTGAAGATGTGTATATTTTATAAAATGCAAATAATTAAACTCTTATAAAATACTGTAAATCTTTTGTATGATAGAATTTGTTGAAATACAGTGTTCATATATTTTGCAATAGCTACTTCAGTGTTCGGTAGAGATATATTCTTCAACCAGTATATGTCAGTGTTTATAAACACTCACCAGCCACTTTATTTGCTACACCTGTTCAATTGCTTGGTAACATAAATTGCTAATCAGCCAATCACATGGCAGCAACTCAATGCATTTAGGCATGTAGATATGTGGTGAAGACGTTTCAAACCGAACATCAGAATAAGGAAGAAAGGGGATTTAAGTGACTTTGAATGCGGCATGATTGTTGAAGCCAGACGGGTTGGTCTGAGTATTTCAAAAACTGCTGATCTACTGGGATTTTACAACCATCTCTAGGGTTTTACAGAGAATGGCCAGAAAAAGAGAAAATATCCAGTAAGCAGCAGTTATGTGGATGAAAATGCCTTATTGATGTCAGAGGTCAGAGGAGAATGGGCAGACTGGTTTGAGAAGATAGAAAGGCAACAGTAGGGTCAGAATTTGGCGTAAACAACATGAAATCATGGATCCATCCTGCCTTGTATCAAGGGTTCAGGCTGGTGGTGTAATGGTGTGGGGGATATTTTCTTGGCTCTAGCAAGGTGTACCTAATAAAGTGGCCGGTGAGTGTACGTTTGTAGCTGCATCTCTGATAAAACTCTGTTGTCTTTTCTCTCTCTAATAAAGTTCCTGTTTGCAATGAAGCAGCAGATAAACACATGTGGACTGTGCATTATCTGTTCTGTATGGTTATACACAAAATTTCTAACAGGTTATAGGCCCAGACATCCAGACACCCAGTCATAACCTGCTACAGCAAAAAAGTGCAAGATACAACAGAAAGAAGACTGCAAGAGAATAAAAAGAAATGGCCAGTAACACAGCAGCAAAAAAGCTTTCATTTGCAAATCTGACAAACCAGAACTACCAATCTTGGAAATTCAAGATGAAAATGCTAACAAGAGAAGGTATGTGGAAATGTATATAGAAGTCAGGCCAGAACATCATTTAGATGAGTGGATAGAGAAAGACCATGAAGCTCAGAGAACAATATCTCTTAGCATAGAAGATGATCAAATTATGCACATCCAGATGATGAACTGACATTGACGTACACTATATTGCCAAAAGTGTTGGGACACGCCTCCAAATCATTGGATTCAGGTGTTCCAATCACCTCCATGGCCACAGGTGTATAAAATCAAGCACCTAGGCATGCAGACTGCTTCTACAAACATTTGTGAAAGAATGGGTTGGTCGAAGGAGCACAGTGAACTCAAGTGTGGTACCATGATAGGTAGATAGTCCATCCATGAAATTTCCTTGCTACTAAATATTCCACAGTCAACTTTTAGTAATATTATAAAAAGTGGAAGCAACTGGCAACAACAGCAACTCCGCCATGAAGTGGTAGGCCACGTAAAATAACAAAGTGGGGTCAGTGCATGCTGAGGCGCACATTGTGCACAAATCGCCAACTGTCTGCAGAGTCAATAGCTAAAGACCTCCAAACTTCATGTGGCCTTCAGATTAGCACAACAACAGTGTGTAGAGAGCTTCATGGAATCTGTTTCCATGGTGAAGCAGCTGCATCCAAGCCTTCCATCACCAAGTGAAATGAAAAGCATCGAATGCAGTGGCGTAAAGCACTACTAGACTCTAGAGCAGTGGAGATATGTTCTTTGGAGTGACGAATCACACTTCTCTGTCTGGCAATCTGATGGACGTGTCTGGGTTTGGCGGTTGCCAGGAGAACGGTACTTGCCTGACTGCATTGTTCCAAGTGTAAAGTTTGGTGGAGGGGGGATTATGGTGTGGGGTTGTTTTTCAGGGGTTAGGCTTGGTCCCTTAGTCCCAGTGAAGTGAACTCTTAATGTGTCAGCATGCCAAGACATTTTGGATAATTTCATACTCCCAACTTTGTGGGAACAGTTTGAGGATGCCCCTTCTTGTTCTAACATGACTGCACACCAGTACACAAAGCAAGGTCCTGTCACGATCAGGGGTCAGCCTCAAAGACCAGTTACTATAGCAGTGCAAAGGCTCACCTGAAACCAGCAGGATAGATACACAGGCAGGTTACCGTGGCGGAGGAGTGGGCAAAATATAGATAAGAGAAGGCAAGGAGCAAGATACTGGCTGAAGAGCACAATAATCTGGCAAACAGGAAGTTCAGAGACATGGCTTTTATCAGGAAGATCATGGGAGGAGCAAGTTGTTCAAGGTTCATGACAAACAAGGTCAAGGTAGGATCATCCAAATAATTGTCAAGGGAGCTGTCCAGCATCCCAGGTGGCTCAGCAAGAAGAAACATTGCCACTCACCACAGAAGGCCCAGGTTCGGACCCAGGCTCTGGCAGGTCCATAAAGCTTGGGGAGGAGGAACTTGACTGACCTGCAGAGTCCTGACCGCAACCTAATAGAACACCTTTGGAATGAATTAGAGCGGAGACTGCGAGCCAGGCCTCCTCGTCCAATGCCAGAGCCTGACCTCACAAATGCGTTTCTGGAAGAATGGTCAAACATTCCTATAGACACACTCCTAAACCTTGTGGACATCCTTCCCAGAAGAGTTGAATCTGTTATGGCTGCAAAGGGTGGGACAACTTAATATTGAGCCCTATGAACTAAGACTGGGATGCCATTAAAGTCCATGTGTGTGTAAAGGCAGGCCGACCAATACTTTTGGCAATATAGTGTATGTTAAGGGCAAGCTTGTGAATGAATATAAGCATAAAACAGAAAGCATTAATAGTGATGGTGTTTCTGAGTGTGCTTTAAAGACAAAAAAATTGGGAATAAAAACAGTAACATGCAACAAGAAACATGTGAATGCTTTGTGTGCAAGAAACAAGGTCATTTAATTATATTAATTCATGAATTAATTAATTAATTAATTAAATTGCAGAGTCTGGAAAGCTAGAATGCAAAAACAAACAAAACTACAAAAAGCCAAAAAATGTGAAGGATGAAACTGATTCAGGCATGGTGTGTTGATTCAAGAGCTACATGTCACATGACAAATAACAGAAATTTCTTTATTCATCTTGAACAGAGTAAAACAGAAAAAAAAATCACCACAGCTAATAGACAAATAATGGAATCAGAAGGAATAGGCAATTTCCTTTACTGTCTTGTTTCCCAGAGTGTCACCAGAAAGATGCCTGTGAAAATGTCCCTGCTCTTGAAACTAATCTTTTGTCAGTGAAGAAGTGCACAAAATAAGGCAATGTAGTGACCTTCCAAGATTACAGTTGCCCCATCACAAAAGAGGATATCTTTTTTTGCAAAGGCTAAAATTACATGTGAACTATATAAGCTGAACTGCAACGAGGTGGTTCATACTGCCAAGGAGGAAAAACATTCAAACTGTATTCACACATGGCACAGACGACTTGGGCACAGAAGTCCTGACATAATAAAGAAATTAACTAAGAATGACTATGAAAGTGGAATAATAATTAGCCCATGTGATCGATCAATGAGGTGAACCAGCTGTATAAAAGCAAAAAGGTCAAGAAAAGCCTCTCCAAAGCAGAGTAACAGCAGAGCTAAGAAACCTCTGGACTTAATTCACTCAGATTTTTGCGGTCCAAAAAATTGACTTCAGGAAAGAAGAGGTATTATCTCACTTTTATAGACGATTACTTCAAGTATATTACACTATATCTGTTACACAACAAAAGTGAAGTACCAGAGAAACTTGAACAGTATTTGGCTCAAGTAAGCAACAAATCTGGCAAAATGCTGAGTGTATTGCACACAGATTCTCACAAAGCATAGCATAATATTTCAAACTACTGTACCAAACATCCCAGAACAAAATGGAGTTGCAGAGAGAAAGAACCGTTTTCTGTGTGACAGCGGAAGAACCATGTTGTTTGATGCAGATATACCAACCACATTCTGAGGGGAGGCAATTATGACTGCATGCTATCTCCAAAATCGACTACCAGGAAAATCAACTGAGAAAACTCAATATGAACTGTGGAATGGAAAAGCCCCAAATTTGAGCCATCTAAAAAATTTTGGAAGCAAAGCTTATGCGCACATCCCACAAGAAAAACGTACAAAATGGGATGCTTGCGCAAAAGAAGGTATACTTGTGGGGTACAGTGAATCTTAAAAGGGATACAGAATTCTACACCAAGACACAAACAAGGTAACCATCAGTAGAAGTGTAATTGTCAATGAAACTTCAGTATGTTCAACATTTCATGAACTAACACAAACACTGCAAACTGAAGGAATTTCCACATCAGTATCACATGAAGATAAGCAGTAAAGTGAAACAGAAATAGATATTAACATAGACAATCCAAATATTGTAAAAGAAGAAATCAGACCACAAGAGGCTTCAATCAGGAAATCCATTAGAAGCAATAAAGGCATCCCAGCCAAACATCTGTCCTATGTTGCTGGCGTAAAATCAGAGTCAGATTCATGGGATGAGCTGCAAAGACTTCCAACCCATGAGAAGCAAAAGTGGATCTGTGCTGCTGATGAAGAAATGACATCTCTTAGTGAAGAGCAGACATGGACATTATCAAAGCTACCTCATGGTAAACATAATTCGGAGGCTTTGACAAAACCACTTACAAGAAACAGAATCAGACTTATATATGGAGTAGTTGTTGAGTGGGGTTGTTGGAATACAGTGTTCATCTATTTTGCAACAACTATTTCAGTGTTCAGTAGAGATATATTCTTCAACCAGTAGATGGCAGTGTTTAAAAGTTTGTAGCTGCATCTATGATAAAACTCTATTGTCTTTTCTCTCTATAATAAAGTTCCTGTTTCCTGTTTGCAGAGAAGCAGCAGATAAATACATGTGGACTGTGCATTGTCCATGTTGTAGGGCTATATGAAGAATCTCTAAAAGACTTCTAATAGGTTGTAGTAATTTATTCTCACAATTGTTTCCTCTTCATAGCATTTCAGCAATATAGCTATTATTGCCAGTTAATTTAGCCCAAAAAGTGATGCGAAGAGAATAATGTTGGTTGCTATACTGTATAAAATTTGTTGTTTCTTACCGTTCCTACTAGTATCTGAAGAACCATCTCCCCTACCCCAGCAGAAGTTACAAGAACTGTGGTGGCACAGCCTGCAGGTAAAAAAGAAATCTATATTTGATTGTGGTTGTGGGCAGTATCTATATACAGTATCTCACAGAAGTTTTTACTGGTTCTATACATCGCTATAAATATTATATTTAAGGATCATCAGTTCTCCCACATGAAACCCTATTTTTATATAATTTTCAAACATTTAGAAATGCCTTTGGTCCACTCTTTACATTGTACAGTATCTCACAGAAGTGAGTACACCCCTCACATTTTTGTAAATATTTTATTAAATCTTTTCATGTGACAACACTGAGGAAATGACACTTTGCTACAATGTAAAGTAGTGAGTGTACAGCTTGTATAACAGTGTAAATTTGCTGTCCCCTCAAAATAACTCAACACAGCCATTAATGTCTAAACCGCTGGCAAAAAAAGTGAGTACACCCCTAAGTGACAATGTCCAAATTGGGCCCAATTAGCCATTTGCCCTCCCCGGTGTCATGCAACTCATTGGTGTTACAAGGTCTCAGGTGTGAATGGGGCAGGGGCGGACTGACCACTTGGAAACTCGGGCACTGCCCGAGGGCCCGGGGTCAGTAGGGGGCCCCATGAGATGCCTCTGGTACCTTTTTCATATGCTTTTTTGAGTTTCGGCAAGGACACAGGGGCCCCATGATCCCCTATTGCCCGGGGGCCCCATGAGTTGTCAGTCCGCCCCTGGAATGGGGAGCAGGTGTTTAAATAGATATTTAAAAATCTTTAATTGGCCAAGTAGATAAGAGTTACATTTTTCCAGGCAGTTCAGATCGCTTCTACTATAGTCTGCTTATCAGGACTCCTTAAATACTCAAAAACCCAGAGCATCACAACAGCATGGTAAGTGTAATGTTGTGGATGTACTCAAAATGTTGGAGTAATGTTCCCCCCTATCAGTATTATAACATCCACCAGTAATATCTTCCACACCTCAAGCACCAGCAAAATTATAACATCCTTAGCTTTGTTTATTGTTTTCTTGATTAGAGCTTGTTTGTGCCTAGATTTCCAGGCCAGAATATATTGGCCCCATAAAAGATGATCAGGGGATGTTGGTTACAAGTGAGAGGGAGAAGACAGCTAAACTAAATACATTTTTTCTACAATTTTTCCACATAAAAAATAGGGGTATTATAAACAAGAGAGAAATGTAATAACGCTTTATTGAATGTACCATTGTGACTGGCAGAAACCAGTGTTACTACAAATAAATGTGAATAAATCACCAGGGCTAGATGGCTTACAACTGAGAATTCTCAAAGAACTTAGTCATGTTATAGCCATACCATTGCTTAAATTTTTAAGGACAGCTTACTGACTTATATAGTACCAGCAGATTGGAGAACAGCAAATGTACTAATATTCAAAAAAGAGCCAATATATATACCTGGCAAGTACAAATTAGTCAGTCTAATATCAATAGTATGTAAACTATTGGATGGTATGATAAGGGACCGTATCCTAGAATTTGCTGATGAAAATATTATCATTCGTAGTAACCAACATTGATTTATGAAAGGCTGTTCTTGCAGACCAACCTTATAACATTCTACGATGA